AGATATGAATGGGTAAGTGGTGAAGAGGAAAGCCGACATAAAAGGAAGAAAATACAATAAAACAATCCTGATGAGAGAAGGATTCACTTAATTTCTTGGACGCTGTTATTTCGCATTACCTTAAAGGGTATATTTGGGGGTTAAAGTTTGATATATATCTAAATGTCTACAAAATCTACGAAGAATTTAATTTGATGTTTGTTGGAGCTTTGGGTATTTTCTATGAAATGGTCGATTGGAAAAAATTAATAGAAAGTACATTGAAAGAATAATTCATTTTACATCTAGAAATCTTTTTTATTTTCCTTAACTTTTTCTTGTTGATTATTAAGTTGACATCTATTCGTTTGAGTTTTGTTCATAAATTAAACTCGTGACTTTTTTAGATACCTACACAATTATCAAAGATTATTCCAATTTAAATAGTTTTATCATCAATAATGGTTATTAAAGGGTAATATAATTCAATTTAAATTAAGTTATCAATTTAAGATTTACCTCCGTATTGAACTCCAATTGGAGAATATTAGAGGAGAAATTTGGATAAAACATTACTAACAGAAAATTAGGTCCTTCTTTTATAATATTCTATATATCCATACACATTGTGGTGAAATAATTTATTACATGGAACCTTAAAGTGGTCTGTTTTTTATTCAAACATATATATATATGAGCCGCTATCCACTACTCAACCGTGTCTCATATATATATATATATATATATTTATTTATTTTAAATCAGTTAATTTATAATATATATATATATATATATATATATATATATATATATATATATATATATATATATCTGTGTGTGTGTCTAGCAACTAGTCTAGAAGAAGGACAAATCTGAATTCAAAACCTGGAGGATCGTTTGGAGACCTTGTGGCAAGTAGTGCATCAGGTCTCCGTAATTAGCCCTTCAAAAAGTGTGGTTGGTTCTGCACAAAGCCTATAATCAGATCATGTGTGCTGGGGTCTGGGCTCTCAGTTGCTAGGAACTGAGCTGCTTGACCCTCATATATTGAATACGACCGGGGAATCCACTATCTCTCTCTATATATATATGCAGACAGTACTGTTTCGCTGTATCACAGCTCTTCAGTGCGACTAGACAACCGAATGCCTCAAGCCCGGATCGAAACCCAACCGATTTGGTGTCCGTCAGAGTTTCTACCACTGAGCTATCTTCATTATATATTTACGTTAAGGTTCACTCTTTACAAGGCCCGGGAGCCAGTCGAGGTAGAGAGTTACGTTGGGATGTGATTTGTGTATATAGGAATGTGAGATACCTTTTAAGCCTAGCCTCGAAAAGGTTAAGATTGTAGTGATCAGGGAAGCATACTGTTGGGAGTCGGTTCCACAGGGTTCACGGTAAGAAACTGCTGGAGTCGAATACGAAGGGAATGTGGGTAATTTGCAATACAAGTGACGTGACGTGTTTGTTCTTACTGAGAAGGTTTGCCTCGGCGGGACTAGGGAATGGAGTTTGTCCAAGCATTTTCCGTGGAAATAGCGATAGAACAGCGAGAGGCTTGCCTCACCTCACCTGTCTATGTTAAATATTAATATTTACATGTGCAGTCATTTTTGCTGATGAGTAAGACAAATATACCAGGCGACACCACAAAGAAACTCTGCTGCAAAAAATCTTCAATTAACTGTGAATTCTTTAGGTTTCTTTATTGAGACCAATTGGCGTATTTACCTAAAAAATGTGAGGATGTGATAGACAGCACTAATAGTGTCCGCATCTTCATTGACATACTCACAACGTTTCAGCCGTTGTACTCTCCAGCCGTCTTCAGGTGATTGGAATTTCGATTCTAATCTTTTATTTCGTCCACAGGTCTAGATTTTTTTCTAGTTCCACGTGCCATGCCTCTTCCGGATGTCTCAGTTATTTCCCTTTAACTCGACTCTCCAAGTTTTGGTTCACCACTGCTGTAGCCTGGTATTGAACTCAGAACTCTTTTGGTCAACGTCTTTATGCAGTGACTAGACCCAAAGAGTTATGAGTTCGATACCAGGCCACAATGAACCAACACTTGGAGAACTGAGCTAAAAGGGAAATAATTGAGACATCCAGAAGATGCATGGCACGTGGAACTAGAATAATCTCCCCCGTTGGACAAAATAAAGAGTTCGGTTCGAAATTCCAATCACATGAAGAAAGCGGTTCACTGCTCTTTCGCTACTTCCATGGAAAATGTTCGAACGAACTCCCTTCCTTGGTTTCGCCAGGTCTGACCTTTATGGCTAGGGTTCGCTATGCTACGCTCATTCTAGCGAACCACCCTTATTCCCTCCGTATTCCATTGGTGAGAAGTTCCACTCGAGCAGCTTCTTCCTGCGAACCACTGTTCTGTAGAATCGACTCCCAGGAGTCCCCGCTCATTACAAGCTTAAGTTGGTCAAGTCTATGGCTAACCGTTATCTTCTTTCTGTTGTTCAAACCTTAATTTTATAAAGATATTACTTTGTTATCAATAACATACAGTATTTCTGGAGACATGAAAAAATGCATTATTTATTGAATAAATTTACTTGGTGTCGCTTAGATGTAGCCCAAAGCCGCAAGTGTAGATTCAGTCATAATTGATCTAGCGGGACAGGTTTACTAACAATTACATCCCATCGAAGTGCCCAGCAATAACTATCGTAAGACTACGAAATTTATTTTGTTCTAGCCTGAAAGAATGACTGAATCTGGACTAAGAAAAGTTTCTTTGTGCAGTCAATGTTTTGCGATTAGTTTCGCTCCTTACCAATTCTTAGAATAAGATGAGAAACTTCCAGAAAATCTTTATTTTCAAGGACAACGGAAAAGTTAATTCATATAGGAAAATGTTCAGAATGAGTTAAAAGAACCTGGTCCATTCTTCATGTACAATCTCAGTAAAATAACCCAAAAGAGTTCCAGTCAATTATTTGGAATATTTTGCTTTGGTTTGGTTTACGGCATATCAACCTCAATGGCTTATTTAATGCCGACATTTTTATTGCTGGTAATATTTTTCCAAAAATGTATTACTGGTATTAAAACATATTTTTACACTTTCATAGCGTCTTGACCCCAGATTGGGGTTAACTATTTGCCCATAGCTGGGACCCTAACAGGTGCTACCACCCCGGGTCAGAGTGGACCTGGGAACACCAGTAATTAAGAGGTGGTTTCACCCCCCTCAAAGTTCCGGATCAACAGCCTTGCTTTTAGATGTAGTTTATCGTCTTACTCAGAGCGGGAATATTTTGCAACATGCTCGTAACTCAAACGATTTAAAAGTTTTTTTTAAAAAGGGATTAAGACGGCGTCACTGAGAAACATCTCTTGAAAGCTACATGGATCAAGTAAGGATTATCGGAATTCTTTTAATCGGAATTTTTTTTAACAAGAAATTAAAGAATTGCTTGCATAGTGAAAAATTAAAGAATAAAATAATTGTTTTCATCGTAGAAAAAAGAAAATAAGCAAAAATTTACTTCCACAAATTAATTACACAATGGAATAAAAGAAAGGAATAAAAGAATCGCTTGTATAGTGGAATAAAAAAAGATGAAATAATTGCTTGCGTTTTTTTATCAATTCACCCCAAGCAAGGCAACAATTCCACTAAGACGCATGGGGTACTGCGGAGAGTGAAAGAAGATAAAAAGATTTTAGAATGAACTAGTAACTCCATCCTAAACAGGAATCAAGGAATAAACCTGTACTGTTCAAAAGATTGGAGAGGAATGTGAAACGGACGATAAGCTAATCTATCCACTCCTATTAAATGAGAAAAATAATTAATGAATAAAATTGCAAAGTTTAGGTGGAGATGTTAGAAGAATAGAGTTGAAGTAGACTTCAGAAGGAACTGGAAAACCAATTCTAAAGAGGATACAAGGAATAAACCTCTGCTTATGGTCAAAAGACAGGGAAGAATTGTAAACTGGACGTTAAGCAAACCTATCTACTCCTATTTAGGAGAAAAAAATAAATAATTAATTTGTAAAATTTCGGACTTCAGGTGGAGACGTTAACAGTAAAGAGTTGAAATAAACTTTAGAAGGAACCGGAAACCTAATCCTAAACAGGAAACAAGGGGGGATAAATCATTATTCTGTTCAAAAGAAGGGGGAGGAATGTGAAATCGATAATAAGCGAACCTATTAACTCCTGAGGAAAAAAAATCAGTATAGATGAATAAAGGAATTGCTTGCAGAGTATAAGTAAATGTATTGTCTAGTAGAATAAAAGATAATAAATTAAGTGCTTGCATAATTGAATGAAAGAATTGTGTGCATAGTGGAATAAAATAATTGCTTGTATAATAGTTTAAAACAATTGATTGCATAGCGGAATAAAGGAATTGCTTGCATGGTGTAATAAAACAATTGCTTGCATAGTAGAATAAAAGAATTGCTTGAATGCTAGAATAAAAGAATTGCTTGAATGCTAGAATAAAAGAATTGCTTGAATGCTAGAATAAAAGAATTGCTAGCATGGTAAAATAAAAGAATTGCCTGCATAGTAGAATAAAAGAATTGCTTGCATGATGGAATAAAAGAATTGTTTGCTTAGTTGAATAAAAGAATGCTTTGCATAGTGGAATAAAAGAATTGCTTGCATAATGGAATAAAAAAAGAATACAATAATTAATTACATTGTCAGCTTTTGCGACTGTTAATAATCAGAATTATATTTTTTTAACAATAAAATTCAGTTTTTCATTCCTTGAACGAATTTTCATTAAGACACTAAAGTGCGACAGCTGTAAACAACTCTATGTTTTTAGCTTGATTTTCTCGAGAAAATGATCTTGTTCTTTTATGTTGAACTTGAGTGTCACGCGCATGCGCGTACTCGTCTCTGTGCGTCTCTCTCTCTCTCTCTCTCTCTGCTTGTGAATTGTGTCCAGTTCGATTTGTTCTGACAAATATGGCCACATCCTCACCGTTACTTTGTAAAGCATTAATTGGGTTCAACCTTGTACAGGCGATTTTGATTCATTAACTTACTTTTCGTGACTCTTCGATGTCAAGGACAACCATGACACGAACAAGGGTAAGGAATAGAAAGGCAAAATTTGATAGAAAATTATTGGCAAACATTGAGGGGAAAGAGAAGGTGGAGGAAAATATCGAGGGGAGGAGAAAGATGAAAACTAAAAAGAAAAAAGAAAGAAAAGAAAAAAGAAAACAAAGAAATAAATGAAGTAAAAAACGAAGGAAATATGAATAAATAATGAACGAAAATAAAAAAAGAACAGTATTGAAATCAAAGACAATAAAGAGCGGGAAAAATGAAAGGCGAAGAAAGGCAAATATAGAAAAAACAAACCCAAAACAAGAATGAAAAAATGAAAAAATGAAAGACAAAGAGAGAGAGAGAGAGAGAGAGAGAGAGAGAGGAGGAAATAAAATCCCAACGTTAAAAAAATAAGTGGCGCCTAATCGTAAGTCAAGTGTTGACGATGATATATTATTGCATCTCCCATGGTGGTTCGGCGGTTGATAAGATGGCGGCTGAAGTAAATGAAGAAGGTATTCAGTAGGGTATATTTAAACTAAAGAGCGTGTTGGATGGGAAGAAGAGTAAAAGGAATGCAGAAGAACTGTAGACCAATCGCCTTGATTAGAGTCCTTTTTTGCTCATCTCGGCCGACAAAACATGAACTGGTAGAGGCCAAGGTTGGCGCCGGGCAACTCCCAACAGTAATTCAAATCGTATTTGTGTGTTAATTCAATCAGTGGCCACTGTTTACATGCAGAATCAGAGCAGCCGTCTGTCTGTGCACAAATGTGGGGTGAGGATACAAAAAAGATTGTGATGAATAGACAGAGGGATTGTGAAAGATCAAGACCAGAAAGAGAATAGGTATAAAATGACGACAGATGTTAATATATATTTCAAAATGACTATATATATATATATATATTCACCCAAAGGTACGTGATAATGTCACTAAGATGCAAAGGGCTTCGGGAAATGAAAAAGAATGAGACAAATTTATAAGGGACCAGAAACCCAATCCTAAAAAGGAAACATGGGATAAACATCTGGTCCTGTTCAAAAGAACGGAAAGGAGCGTGAACCTACCTACTTCTATTGAGAAAGAAATAGAGTTTAGGCGAAGACATTAGAAGTATAGAGTTGAAGTAGACATAGGAAACCCATTCCTAAACAGGAAACAGGGGATAAACTTCTAATTCTTCTCAAGAGTTCGGGGAGGAGTGTGAACCTATTTACTTCTATTGAGTAGATGAGAATAATATAATTAAATACATTTTCAAATTTTGCGACTGTTACTAATCACGATTGTATCCTTAAAAAATAAATTTCACTTTGAAAACAGGTTGTCATTAAGTCTTTAAAATACCGACCTTAGGAGGAGACGTTAGAAGTATAAAGCTGAATTAGACTTTAGAAGGGCTAGGAAAACCAGTCATAAACTGGAAACGACGGATAAACCTTTACTTTTGTTTAGAAGACCAGGGAGGAGTGAGAACCGGACGATGGGCGGACCTATATACTCCTATTATGGAAAAAATTAAAAAAGTATTTAACAAATCAAAGGATTGTATTTTGTAATTGTGGGAGGTAACGCAACAACTCAACTGATGATAGCAGGTAGGAACAAAGAAAACCGGTGTCGCACGTCCAACCTTCTCACGAGCCTAAAGCTCTCTGATCCGAAACAGCAAACTATCTATCTATCGTTGTTCATTATATGTTTACCACTCCTTAACTATGTTCTATTTGTATTCCATTGGTAAGGAAGATGTTTGCTTTTTCCCCAGAGCTGTTACTTTGCTGCCTCGATCTCTACGATCTTAATATGTTCATCTGTATGTTAACCGTTATCTAACCTGCATATCCTCATAACTTTCGCTTTTATATTGCTTCGCTACAAAAATCTCATTCAAGAAACCTCAAACTTGGTTGACTTTTGGGAACTGTATCAGATGAACCAAAAGTATTTAAAAATCCGCACGGTATTGAGTTTTCAAGCAAAAAGTATTTCAAAGTACGTACAGTATTGACTTGTATTTTCATAGACATATCTGTGAAGAGATAAACATATGGAGGTATTTGAGAATACATGCTTCCATGTCAGTTAACATTAGAGCATCCATATAAATGCCGTTGTGTGCTTTGTGGATATTTATCAATTGTTGCATCTCGGATTCGTGTCACATCTTTAGAAGACAGAGCCTTCTCCTTCTCCGTTGCATAAGAAGCTCAGACAAGATGTTAATTTGAAAGTCATCAGCTTTCATTGTCCTTCAAGACGTTGAACTTATACAGATGACGTGGCAGTACACCAATAGCTCTTCAGCGATGACACCATTGGTGTTGCTGCTTGTTTCAGTGTCATGAACGTTCCGCTGCCGGCTTCCTTTAGCAGGGTGCCATATATTAGCTAATGGTGGCTGTTAGAAATTGCGTCGAGTCATAAGTGTAATTACAGATACACAGATCGCACATACACGCACAAAGCACGCACACACACAGCACATACAAGCACAAACACAGAATATACATACATAAACATGCAAAGCACACACACACACACACGCCCACACACACTGCATACACACATTGCACATACACACACACACAATACACAGACTCACATAGACACATTGCGCGCACGCACACTGTGCACACAGACACTCACAGATACTCCACACACAAACGATGCAAACACATACACTGCACACATACTGTATGCACACATCACTGTACTCACATTACACACATACAATGCACACACAATGCCCAGACACACACAATGCATAGAGACACACACTGCACACGTACACACCCACCCCACTTCACATACACACACTGCATCCGCACACATTACCCCCCCACACTAACACCCACACTAACACCCACAGTACATATATATATATATATATATATATATATATATATATATATATATATATATATATATATATAAATTTATTTATATATATATATAAATTTATTTATATATATATATATATATATATTATTTATATATATATATAAATTTATTTATATATATATATATATTTATTATATATATATATATATATATATATATATATATATATATATAAATATAAATTTTGTGCTATATTTATAAGGGAAGATTGCTCAGTGTTGGAGACTTTATACAAGCAACAATACAAATGAAATAGTGTAAAAACACTATTAAACTATTCTGAAATCACCTACGCAGTTACCACAAATAATTAGATACATACTGAGAAAACCGAATTAAAATTATCACTCATTGCAAAAAAATAAAACAACCGTCTAATATAATCACCACAAATGACATTACAAAAAGTTCAAGTCTTCAATATTCAATGTTGTCTATAAATACGCATTCCTGCTCAGAGAATGTTTCTCTAATAATAATAATAATAATGATAATAATAATAATATTTCAAACAAGATATATATTGGTTTCCCAACCACCAAATTATCGTACCGTTTAACTTGTCATTTGCCTGATAATAGACAAATTAATCACAACAGGAAGGAAAAACAACACAAGCAATCCAGCAAATCAATTCCAATAATACAAAAGTTCTGACTCACATCTGCGGTAAAAAGAAAACGTCAACAAATACTGGAAGCATTAACAAAACAATCTACTATTAATACAAAGATATAAAATTTTGAAACAATTATTCTAAATATATTTCAGTAATAACATTAAAAGATAAACAGACGATACGAACTATTACGTAAAGAGGCGGAAACTCGCGCGACATGAGGAACCCACAACATAGCACAAAAAACATAAACAAACACTGATAAGGGTTAAATATAGCGAAAGTATTCAGACCGTGGAGAATTTCAATATGCATTGGAAACCCCCTTCCCCAAATATACTCTTAACAAGCTAAAAAGAGTAACTGAATATTGCTTGGCTGTGAAACTGCGGCCGTGCTTTCTAAAGCACACCGGGTCATACGTGATTTTCTCCCCACTCCCCAAAAGGGAGACTTAGGCTCGAATTATGTCACAGGGTACATCTACTTTATTACGATTCTCGAATGAATATGTGTCTAGATATAGTTCACACTATAAAAAAACAGGGAGTTTCAACAAAGTTAAAATCAACAAATATCGTTCCCAAGGAAACTAAGATCAGCAAAAAAGGTTATCAGCAAAATCTGCATCGAGCTAAAGTAACATCAGCAAGAATATATCAGCAAATATTTTTCCAGTGATACTAAAACCAGCAAATACATCATCAGTAACAATTGTTACCAGGAAGCTAAAGTAAGCAAAGCGGATATCAGAAAAGATTGTTTAGAGCTAAATGAACATCACCTATGGGCAAAGTTTTATCAAGGTAAAGCATAATCAACAAAACTATCATTAAACACATTTTTAAGTTCAACTTGAATCTGCAAAGACGTTATCAGCAAAAACACTTACACGAAATTCTAAAACAAGGAAAGAGGTTATCAGCAAATATTGATTCCAGTTAAACAGACGATCAGTAAATATGCTTTCAGTAAATATTTTTCTATTTAATAAGTCGAAAGACTATATTGAATCCATTGCTAGGTCAGCTGCTACGAAAGTTCGTTCACTGTATCGTGTTAGACGCTTTTTCTCTGCAGAACCTATCCTACATATTTATAGGTCTACCATTAGTCCATTCATTGAATATTGCTGTCACATTTGGTCCGGTACTCCTGCTATTTATCTAGAGCGCATTGATAAAATCCAAAGAAAAATATTATTTGTCCTGATATGGCATCTCGGCTTACTTACCACCGCAGTAAGGTTGCCTCCCTATGCCTTTACTATAAATAATTTCATGGTAATTGTTCAAATGAGCTCTTCGATATGGGTATGATTTTCGTATTTGTTGTTGTGTTTGAATGAGTGTGTGTTTCAGTGAGTGTTTGGAACGAATGAATGTTTTATAGTATTAGAGTTCCGCATTGATTTCGACCAGTTTACTGATGCTTCTGATTGTAGGGCTGGGGTCATTGTTAACATTATTTTGTTTGGTTTCTTGTAAATGGTTTTGTTTTCATATTGTAAATAAATATTGGGGCTAGATTTTAAATTATTTTTTTATTCCCCGACCCCAACAATGAATTGTAGATATGCAGATTAATTATGACTTTATGGATATTTTGAAGTATTATGGTGGATGAAGTAAGAAATGTAAGTAAGAATGCGTTGTTTTTGTGTAAGGAATATTGTTGTATGTTTGGGTCAGTGTTTGTGGCTAGCTAAGTTTAGAATTAAGACAGAAGAAGACAGTCATTTTCCCCATTAACCTTTTTGGCCTTGGGCCACATTTTGTAAATATTGCAACTAAATAATGCTCTTTGATATGTTGCCTAACCTCTTCGAATTTAAAGGCGGCAAGGCGACCAATTTTGCAGCTGATGTGGATAGATAAAACCATAAATTCTATGC